GGTGGTGGGGTGTACAGTTGTGAGCCCACTGGGTTCAAAGGATGGTTGGGGTGATAGCCATAGGAGTTATATATCAATACATAGAGTTTAGGTGGGGTGACTTTTTCAAAGCGGGTTGTAGGGGTATATACGGCTTAGAGTTTCCAGGGTTTGAGGGAGATGAGGCCCACTTGGCGCTCTTGCGTTGCGATTGTCGTCATTGGCACGCCTTCATTATTGCATGAACTATCCTCCCTAAAACTGTAATTCCGATCGGGTTTGAGTTTTGGGGTTATAGTCCCCCTCAAGTNNATATGACTTTGGGTATATTGTAATAAGATCCCCATATACCCCATATTCTATCTACTTTAGGGGGGCCATAGGGTTCTAGGATTTTAGGGGCAGCAGAGAAATATTTAGGGCCGTATGCAGGAACCTATATACTTTAGGAAAAACGGAAATGGAAATTGACAACAAAATGGAGACTGTGTTCATATGAGGGTTCATAGGCAGCGTACAATGTAGGAGCCTGCTTGATTAGAATGCTTTGTATAGTGCTGTTGTTGTGCAAGATGACGACGGACAATAGGGCTAAGTATTCAGGGTGCTACTTCATATACATATAGGTTTCTGTTGGGCCCCTGTTGGTTGTAGTTTACACTACGGCGCCCAGGATAGTGCGAAAATGGGACCATAGGGATCAATGCGGGATGAGGTGCTCAACATATCTGTTGAGGTTCCAAGGGCTTTAGATGGGAGTTTCCTGAAGGAATCCCCAAGTAATCCGCAGAAAGGATGATCCCCATACAGTCCCTGTTGAGGGAGGGCCGTTTGGTGTTGTTCTTACAGGGGTTATATCCGGGCCAGGCTTCTAGCGTGCGGCAAAACCTGTTCTGGGATACTGCAGGGCCCTAATCCAGAAACCCTCAACGCTAAACCCTATCCAGAGATGGCAAGGAGCTGTCCCTTGAGGAGTACGTCAAGTACGCTCGTGAGAATCAGGCGTTTGCCTTCCGGCTTGGGGCGGTATCCCAAAGGCTCCATGTAGCTATATGGTATATACTTAGGGCCCAAAGCAGTTCCCATATAACTACTTTAGGGCCCAAGTATATACCATAAAGCTAGATGGAGCCTTTGGGTAGTAAGATGTACGCAAACCAATGGCTCCAGAAAGTTTACTGTCCTCAAATGAGGGGGTAGACTGCATCGGTTTCCATACTACTTTGGGCTTCTGTACTAAGATACATCAACTTTCGGTTTGGTGTAGCAGTTTCACCAATCTGTATAAATTCTGTCTCCATAGATAACATAGATGTAAGCCAGCCGTGGCAGGAAAACTTATCAATCCTAGTGTGCACATAGAAAGTTATGTTCCTAGACCCTCCTCCTACCCTCTATTAGGGCCTAAGTACCCACTATTAGGGACCATATGTCCCCAATTAAGGGTACAAGGAGGGTCCTGGTTCATCCTGGATCCTAGACCCTACTGGTGGGGTTTACTTGGATGATCTTTTGACTTAGTAAGTCTACCTACTATCTTTAATAAGCCCTTTAGCCCAAGTTGCTAAGTAGACTTACTAAGTCAAGAGATCCTCCAAGTAGGGCTTAGGGTTTAGGGTTTCAGCCTTGCATGGCTCCTTTAGTCCTACGCCCCATGCAAGCTACATCACGGTACAACCTTTGCTCGGCCCTATCATATTCGCTCGTATGCGTCAGACTATGGCTTCCTCCATAGGCTCACAACCCTAGGAGCCCAGTTACCTATATATTGGGTTCCTGTCCTTAAGTCCCTATATAATATTATATTATCTGTAACCCAAGGACCTACTATATGGGTACCTGGGCTTCTAGGGCAAACTTCTTGGTGCATGTTCGACCCTATCTTATTCCCTCGTATGCTCGACCATACGGATTCCTCCCTAGCCTCTCAAGCTTCCTGGAGCACACATAATATATTAGCATTTGCTTGTTTTTAAAGATCGTTATGATTACTGGCCATGCGTTGACTGAAAGACTCCCGAGGGCTACAAGTTAATGAGCGCTACCTACATTGGGCCCTGAAGGCTATGAATGGCACCGGGATATGCTAGACCGGCTAGACCCAAAGCTCTAGAGCCAAATTTATGAACCCCAAATCCTAACCCATGTCACACAGCGGATGCTTTCGTTTCAGCTCAGAAGGCTCTCGTTGATCCCCACCCAAAGCTCGAAGTCTCCAGCCATGGTGGTCGCAGGCGCTGACACTGTCGACAAGGCCAGAGGCATGTAATCCCCTCCACTAGTAATAGCCCCCTCACCCCAACCATAATTAGACGTTCCCATCATCTCCCCAAAGCCTACCCAGATTCCCAAACGTCCCAGGACAGCGTCTTCGCAAACTACAAGTCGGTGTTCTCGACCCAATTTGCTGTGTCACTGGCCGTCGAGTTTGTGGGCGTGATGTTCTTCCAAATCCTTGGAGGTTGGGGGGGGGGGTGGAAAAGGGTTTAGGGTTTAAGGTTTAGGGTTGAGGGTTTAGGGTTTAGGGGTGGAAATAGGAGCCACGCTCAGTTGGGAATGGAGGAATGCAGTGGATAGCTTCTTATGTGGCAATTCCTACTAGCCACCAGTGAGGGCAGCATTCGACCTCGGGCGTTTAAGCTCGCAACATGAAGAAAGCTGGCAAGATTGTTCGCACTGCATGTTGAGTGCTTCCTAGTCTTTCTCATTCCAGGGCTGGCTCATTCCAGGGCTAAAAGTGGAAGTTTCCATAAATAAGGGGACCCCAATATAGACCCCAAAATACTATAACCCTTACTACAGTATAGTACCGTATAGACGTCAGTATCGTATGGTATGGTATAGTAAAGTATACGACCATGGGAAAGGGGGGGCGATGGGAGTCTTAAAGCACCACACCAAGCCCCTCAGCCTTGAATGCAAAGCCTGTACAGGGTTAAGGGTTTAGGGTTTAAAGTTCAGGATTTAGGGAGAATTTCTGCGTCTTCTTTATACCCTTAGGGTCTATGCCCTTGTGTCTGGCTCCCAAAACAATGAAACATAGCCATTAATTCGGGCAAATGGGACAAACTACTGAAGGGTACAAAACTTCAGGCCTTAAGAGTACGAATTCACAGTCTTCGACCTACACATCCCTATGTAACCCCATATGATCCCGCTACATAATCCCAATGTAAGCCCTATACAATCCATTAAGAACCTTCCCAGAAGCCCTACACCTTAAACCCTCAAGCCCTGAAGCCCTAAACCCTCAAGCCCTAAAGCCCCAAACCCTCAAGCCCTAAGCCCTAAAGCCCTAAACCCTTAAACCCTAAAGCCCTAAAGCCCTAAAGCCCTAAAGCCCTAAAGCCCTCAACCCCTAAACCCTAAAACCTTAAAGCCCTAAAAGGATGCTCCGAACCCAAAATGGCGCCCTTTGTGAATGGCTTCGCTTTGGCCGTGTGGATCTACGTTGCTGCCAACATCAGCGGTGGTCACCTGCAGCCTGGGCTTATTCATGGGAAATACTTTCAGGGGTTTAGGGTTAAGGGTTTAGGGTCAAGGGTTTAGGGTTTAGGGCGAGGTGTGAATTTTGACCCTGGGGTTCAGGGGTTGGTGTCTAGGGCTGGGGCATGGCATCTGGGGTGTAGAGGTGTTCAGTTTGGGCTTCAGGGTTTAGGGTGTAGGGATTGGAGTTTTGGATCTGATCTGGGGCTTAAGGCTTGTTTCTGTTTTGTGCTTCCAGCCTATACACGGCTCCTGGTCGTACTCTTCCACGTTCATGTCTGAATTTACACGACAAGCGCCATTCACAGAGTTAACTACCAGTAGCACTCGCATCCAGATTGCTTCTGTTCCTTATGGGAACAGATAGGAAATTTCTCCAAAGTAACCCCCCATTAAAAACTAACATGGAAGCATCAAGGGGGCTGCATAGACGGTTGCCTTTTTCTAAAAACTATGCGGGGTGCCGTCTTCGTGAATTTAGGGGAGCCTACCGCTCCATTTGTTCCTGACGAGCCCTTCGCCCCAAAGGAGAAAAAAGACATGAATCCGGACCCAAGCCCGTATTCCGAATGTGTTCAGACAAATCGTTTTACGATCCGTGTGTATATATATATATACATACGCATTCATCCAAATATGTATGTATATAGAAGCGATCAAGCATCTTCGAGACCTCAAAGATTCCTGAGCCCTGCGCATCTCAAACCTTCAGAGATTTCTCAGGATCATCTCCACGCCCCTCAGACCCTTAACTCAGACCCTCTCCGAACCCTTAGACTAATATACGCCCCTAAGCCCCTCCCTACACCCTAAGCCCTACTTTTCGGGACCACGGGGTTACTGAGGGGTTAGGGAACGTAATTCTGCAAAGCATTGCAGTGGGGTATTTATGGGGTGGTTAAGAGGACGTAGCATATTAGCTGCATCTACTTCCAGGGTCCCAAGAACCTGAAGCCTAAACCCCAAACCTACAAGGAACCCTGCGGTGAGCTTCAGCACAGCTGTTTGCGGCTTCTACCCCGTCATCCACACCGCGCCTGGATTGTGATTGAAATTTGGGAAAGACGTAGGGGTTTATGGAAATTCCCATTTAACTGCGTCCTTTGGTTTTAGGATGCACGGGTATCAGGATGCCAACAACCAACAATCCACAGGTTTGATTGTCTAGAGCTAAACCTAAGGAACGGAATGCATGGCATTTTCCATGAAAAAGGGCAACCCAATATAGATCCTTATTATAGGGACTCTCCAGGGGTACTCCGAATGTGGGGAAACCTTACTCCCCATAAACCAATCTATGACCTGTGTGCCCATGTGATTGTCCATGTTCTTTTCCTTTTGATTCTCCATTCTTCCCTATGTACCCCTATAACTGCTTTTGGGGGGAAACCCCCGAATGGAACGAAACCTCAACCCTTAATCCTGAATCCCTTTCTCTCTAAATCCCTAAACTTTGTCCTCGCTAAACTGAATTCCTAGGAACCAGTGCCCGATACACCTTTGGGTTTACCCCTATTTATATACACACATATACAACCGATTTTTGGGAAATTTTTAGTGGTTTAGGGGTTAGGGTTGAGGGTTTAGGGTTTTGCCCCTTGATCTCCTTAGATTGCATCTTTCCCCTCAAAATGACCGTCCTGAAAGGCGTGTTTGTTAAGGGTTGCTATAACTCCTACTACCACTCTAGGGAATTCTAGTGGAGATTGCCTAATGACTAGGTTTTATATCCTGCGCTACCCTAAGTCCCGTAGTCTCAGAAGTGTAGAACCTTCGACCTAAGCCCCAAATTCTGAACCCAAAACCCTAACGGAATGTCCCCTGCAAGACCCAGGTGATCTACATCGCTCTGCAGATCATTGGTGCGATCGTAGGAGCTGTGCTGCAGTGAGGGACATGCCATTCCAGTTGAAGATGAGCCATAATCGAAACTTCTTGCAGTCACCGTAAAGCGATTTATATAGTGAATTCTAGAGCGGTCTATTATGAGGCTGATCTAGTACTATAGGAGGTTTTTCGGAAGTTCCCAGAGTAAGGATTATAGTTTGAGTCGTTCAGCTTCAGAAATGGCCGTCATCCCCAAAGGGGCTCTATTCGGGGTTGTCAGGACTCCCATTCTTCATTGTGGTAGCTGAATCCTTAAACCCTGAACCCTAAACCCTAAAGCCCTAAACGCTAAACCTTACCTGGACCCCAAAAAAGTAGGTAAAATAATAGCCCAAAAGATTAAAAAACAGCCAACAAGGCAATCATTTTACATATTCTGGGGGTTCAGGTAACCCTAAACCCTAAACCTTAAACTCTAAAGCCCTAAACCCTAAACCTTAAACCCTAAACTCTAAACCTTAAACCCTAAACCCTAACCCTAAACCCTAAAACCCTAAACCCTAAACCCTCACAAAAGCCGACTCAAGGAGCCTGGGTCTCGGCCGGTTTGGTACCAGGAGCTGGCATCATGATCGGCACTGGGGCAACGGGACCAGGACTGGGCAGAAAAAGGGTTAGGGTTTAGGGGTTTAGGGTTTAGGGTTTAGGGGTTTAGGGTTTAGGGTTTAGGGTTTTAGGGTTTAGGGGTTTAGGGTTTAGGGTTTAGGGTTACTATTATTACTACGAATATTGATACTATTGTTATTATTACTAGTACTATTATTATTATTACTATTACTATGGGTGAGGGGATTAGGGTTAAGGGTTTAGGGCTTAGGGTCGCTTTAGGGTTCTGGGTTCAGTTGGTTTAGGGCTTCGGATTTAGGGTTCAGAGTTTTGTACAAAATGTATAGGGTTGAGGTGGGGAGTTTCGGGCAGGTTTTGAGCAAATTGTGTGAGAGCGTTTCGCTTTGCTTTGCCCTTGTACGGTGTAGATCTACCCTAAATCCTGAACCCTAAACCCTTTAGCCTTATCTTTTTAGCCATGCTTGGCTTCTGTCCGCCTCGCCGTGGGAGCTGTTAGAGGTTTTGGGGTCCAATGTCGGGGCCTCAATAGGGTTTAGGGTTTAGCGATTAGGGGTTGAGCGGTTATGGATTTTGGCTGAGGGTCTTAGGGTTCAGCGATATTAGCTCAATGATGGCGAATCACATGGAAAAGAGAATGGAACATGACATGAAAACTGGGGAATCTGGGGGGCTATAGAGCATACCAATACGATAATCCCTACATAATATAATAGTTTCCATCTTCTTTTCCATCATCTGTCTATAAACCCCTATACAATTTTTAAACCCTAAACCCCATTTTCTTTTCCATTGGTACAGGGCACCTCAAGTAGACCTGAAGTTGACTTTGGTTTGAGTCTAGGCTTCTTTATTAGAAGGCTTCATTGGGTTCGGGCTCCGTTTAGGGTTTAGGGTTCAGGGTTTAGGGTAGGTTTCAGGGTAACCCTTAAGAACCCTAAACCCTTAGAACCCTAAACACCAAACTGCAAGTCTCTGAACTACAACTCACGGAGCTGCGGCTCCAGCATTCCTGAAAGAGGAACTGCCCTAAACCCTAGCACTACCCTATACCCTAAACCCTATGCGCTAAACCGCAAATCCTAGACCCTGTACCCTATAAACCCTATACTTTAAACCAAGCCGAGGTTCTACATAGAATCTCTGGGAGAGACTCAGAAACTTCATTTGCTCCCCTTCTCCCCCCGGGCCCTATACTACCCGGCTTTAGGGTTTGTAGGGTTCAGGGTGGTAAGGCCAATTAGGAGGCGACCTAAGGGTTGTAGTGTGGGGGGAGTAGAAGGGGAACTCATGAAAACTCCCTAAACCCTAAAACCCTAAACCCTAAAACCCTAAACAGTGAAACCCTAAACCCTAAAACCCTAAACCCTAAAACCCTAAACTCCGCGTAAAAGCCCCGTCAAAGGATGCTTCGATCGCAGCGTGATCAAGGATGTCACGGACGCGCAGGTGCCTTGCGATGCCAGGTTCTGCCTTAAGGGTTTAGGGTTTTAGGGTTTAAGGTTTTACTGTTTAGGGTTTTAGGGTTTAGGGTTAAACCCAAACCCGTGATTAATAAACCCCCTCCCCTTAAGAGGGATTATAATAGGGATCCTAATATTTGGGCCCTAAAAGGAGGGAGGTCTAATAATCATGGGTCTACAGTCTAATAGTAGCTTCCATTTTCTTATATAACCCCAATATACTATAGTAGTTTCCATTTCATTTTCCATTACCCCTATACTACCCCTATATATGTTTTCTCGTTATGCCCTTTTGCTATTATACTATGTCCGTGAGTACACGCATGGTAACGCCAGTGACCTAGTGTAGCCCTGCCTAAGCGGGTTCCGGCTCTCCCGAACTTGAGAGCTGATAGGGTTCCAGCTCTCCCTAGGTAACAACTGTACTGACAAACAAAAAGTTGTACTTGTAGGAAATGTTTTGGCATCATATTTTCTAGACATACAGTCCCCCTTAAGTAGATAGAATCTGTGGAGTACAGAGAGTGGGAATTTCATATTCTATCTACTTAAGGGGGACTATATGTCTGCTATAGGAAGGGTTCAGGGTTCCGGCGTTGAGATCGGGTCAGGCCCACTGCGCAAAAGCCTTGAACTGTGTTTCAGGTCTTCGGCTGGGAATGCGTGATGACCTTCACGCTCATCTCTTGCGTCTATGCCTGCACCTTGAACGTCCTCAGCATTTTTTTGAAGCATTAACCCTTGGGATTTAGTTTGGACCTTAAACCCTTACCCCTTTGGGATTCCCTCATACCCCTATTATAGGTTAACCCTGAGTAGGGGTCCTTAGTGCCACGTAAATTAATCAACAGTTTTTTAGTAGTTGCGCGAGAATCCTGACGCTGAAGGCAGTGACGGCCCCAACCCTCGTGTAAATTAGCTCATCACCCCGCACCCGGAACTCAGGATATTCAGATAATTCCATCTGCTACTTGCAAGGGGGTAGGGAAATCCCGATAGAAGCGAAGTCACTCCTGGAGACTCCCCCCTCCCCAAAAATTCAAAAGGAATCTTCAGAATAAGCCCTTCAATCCTCTTATATAGGTTTTCCTAATTACCTGACAGCCCCGGGAACTTAGCTGCACGATTTGAAGAGCTGTCCATAGAGCCTGCCCTTGTTTTCAGCAAACCTGATTGGAATGTATACCCTTTTGGGTATAGGGTTCATGGTTTTGGAAGCCTTGACCCGCACCTCTAGTATACCACTAGCCCGAAAGCCTAAACCGTGGACCTTATAGCTCTTGAGCTTCAAGGGCCATGGGGGTATGTGGTATAAACTTGGGGCCAACTGGGTTCCCAGATGGACACTTTGTGGCCCAAGTATCTGCGATATAGCTACAGGGACCTTCTGGGAAGAATCATTGCGCTTGAGGGTTTAAGGTTTGGGGTTCAGGGTCCAAGTACTCTCAACAATCACACACCTACCGAAACTTGTACTGCAATTTCCAGTGTTTGGTACGTGGGCCTTTCGGGTAATCCTAACCCAAAAACCCGAAAACCTAAACCCTAAATCCCAAAACCACAAACAAAAAACACAGAGGCGGTGTGGCTAAGCCGGGACACGGAAGCCACACGCCCTTTGCAGTGGGCCTGGCGTTGCTGGCTTCTAGCCATGCAAATTGTTGGGTTCAGGGTTTAGGCTTTAGGGTTTAGGGTAGGGTATAGGGTTACCTTCTAATGGAGTATGAAATGGAAGAGACAATAGAACATGAAAGAGAAAACAGGGTGATAAGGCCATAGCATTTTGTTTTTCCGGGCCCTAAGATGAGGCTAGTTTTCGCCATATACACAACGGACTGATCGGGTTACAAGAACAACAATTGGACAAAGAGTGAGGGCGTTGTTTAAAAAAACATGGGAGAAGGTAAACAAGACAGGTCCGGTCGAAAAAAGGTAAACGCGGGTGGAATATGATAGAATTTGGTAACTTTTTGTCTGCATCTTTTTTTCTCACCTTTTTTCTACCGTTATCCACCTTTCGCCTTCTTTTCACCTTTTTCTACAATGTTTCTGTATTTTCCTACATTTGCTCTTACCTTTTTGCTACCTTTCTTTCTATTACTTCCCATCTGTTTTCTACCATTGTTCTACCTTTCTGCCAGCTTGTCCATTTATCCATTGTCTACCTTTACCTCTTCCTTTTGCAGTTTTCCACCCCTTGTCACCTTGTTTAAATGCTGCATTTCCCATATGTACATATGAGTTTGTATGTAATGATAGGGTTTCGGGAGTAAGGTTTAGGCTTTAAGGTTTGCGGGTTTTCGAGTCTGAGGGAGCAGAGCTCAGGCCTTGCGCGACAGGTTATCGTGAGAACAATGGCTTGGGTGTAGGGTTCAGGGCTTGCGTACTGCCCCCACCCCGCAGTAGTTGGATGGTAATATGCCACATTAGAAGATGATTGTTCACAGCCCTAAATGTAACCCCCACTACAGATTGTTTTTTCTTGGTGGGGGCGGTACCCAAACACCGGCATAGATGGGCCACAACTTTACAGGGTGTAGTGTTCAAGGTCGAGGGTTATTCTGACGAAGAGGACTACAGAGCTTGGGAAGGTTTTTGTTTGTTTGTTTTTTGTTTTTCTCTCGGTTTTGGGAGATGCTTTGTTTGCTTTGAGTAGCGAGGGCATTGTGACAGCTTATGAGTACTTGAGTACCTATAGCCAGAGCTCAGAAGCAAAAAGCTTGCCCATGCAGCCACCCCACCCCCCCACCCCAACCCCCACCCCACCCCACCCCACCCCACCCACCCACCCCACCCCACCCCACCCC